TCCCCCGCTGCGCAGCGGCGAAGGTAGCCAGGCCGCAGGCGCGGCTTTCCCAGGGGGGGCGGCGGCCGCGGCCGCCCCCGCGGCAGGACAGCCCGCCCCCCCGAAGAAGGGGCGGGGCGCCGCCCACCCCGCCGCCCGCCGGCCGAAGCAGGGCGGCCTTTTTTTTCTTTTTTCTTTTTAGGTTGTCGCGCCGGCGCCGGTGGGAAGGAATGGGAGGGGCGCCGGGCGCGAATTGCCCGCGGGGCGGCTTGCTGCCCGGCCCCCGGACAGGCCGGGGCGGGCCCGCCCGGGAAGAGGCGGGGTCGACGTAGGAGACTCCCGTGGTGTTTTTTGACGGCCCGCGGGCCGTTTCTTTATTCAGGGGGCCGCGTTTGGTCGGCGTAGCTGTTTGGCTTGTTCCGCGTGTGCATGGGGGGCGGCGCCTTACATCCCGAGGGACCCGCGGGGGTTTCGTTCCGAGCGGGCGTCCCGGGCTCCACGGAGCGCCGGCGGGGTGTGCTCTTTTTGGCATTGGCAAATTGTAGCCATCGACAAAGTTTGCCATATCCCTTAAAAGGGGAGGAAAGGTTTAAAAGGTATCTTGGTGTACACATTTGCCTTGGGTGATTTGCGCTCTTTCCAAGTTTTACTTGAAAAAGTGCTCCTTGAGGAGAAGCTTCTTTGGTTTATTTATCATTGGAGGAAGCTACGCTAGTGCCCTAAGTGTGTAGTACGAGGTGAAATGCCTGGCGGCTGCTTTGGGGGTTTGGAGCGGTAGTGGGGTTGTTGAAGCTCAGTTTAACTTTTTTCCTTTAGGCATGGCAAATCCGAAATTTCACTTGAATGTACCCGCGCAGTTCATGGTGTACAATCCTTGTTAGTAAACCTCTGGGAATATGAGGTGACGCTTCTCCATTTTTGGCGTTCGATTCCGTATTCCACGTTAGTTTGATTAAAACCGGTCATCGTATATGCTGGCTGACGCTGTGACAGCGGCAATTCAGTATGAAAAAATAAAAAGAACAAACGAAAAGTTCGAAATGATTCTACCACAAAATAAAACGGAACCTTTGGGACAATTTTTTTCAATCCGATTTACCGTGTGTATGGATCATCCTTTATCTCCCACTGCTTTTACAGTAAGGAATGCGTATCGAAGAGCTCAGTACCAAACGAATGGGTTTCCGCAGGCTACAAATGGATTTATCGGACCTTTAGTAAAGTTGCACGCTTTTTAGGTGTGATATCATAATAGTCTGCGATTTCCCACTAGAAATTCAGATCATTTTGCGAATCAGTGCTGCTCGGCCTTTGGACAATTTTTTTTTCTTGACACGTTTCATGTTAATGCTAAATGGGATGGTAAAAACCCACAGGTATCAAATGTGTTCACCTTGCAAGGGTCAGATGATCCGTGGAGTGCGTGCGGAGTCATTAAAACGTTGGGACCTACTTCTCAGGCTATCGTTGCAGAATGTGAAGGCTGTGGTCATTGTGGAGAGCTGACCCTTCTACAACTAAATTATCTAGCACCATTACGAAGCAAGCAGAAAAAAAAGATAACTGGATTTCTACTTGGATGCTTGGATGGCAAGCGAACCAGTCTCATCTGTCCTTGTCCTTGGTGGCAAAGTTCGCAAGAGTACCTTTTTGGAAGAAGGGAATTGCATAAAGCTATTCAGAGCTTATCTTTATTGTTTTTCTTTTTCAACAGAGTGGTGAAGTCTATGGCTTGAAAAAGGCTCCTACCGGAAAGGTTGTAATTATTAACTTTCTTGAACATGCAAGTTGTATGAATAGGGAACATTTGTCTTATTTGTTAGTGGCCGCATAAAAAAAAACGAAAAAGAAAAAGAAAAACATACGCTTTCAAGTTTTGGGGTTCAAGATGCGGTTTTTGTTCAATCTTTTGAACAACTATCACAGCTAATTGGTGATGAGGACCAAAGACATGGAAATGCGATAGAATGCTTCCCGTGGTATATTTGGGTTCTTTTATTGACAATGTTTTTTTTTTCTGCGGCGATTTCGTTTTTTTTTTTTTGTCTAGGGACGGTGGTATAAAAAGATATCTGTCCACAGAGCCGAGGCACAACGCATATAACGATATATGGTTTGTTATTTAGTAAATGCCTTCTGGCGCAGCGACCATGTTTTGTTGTTGTTACTACTACTGCTGCTATTACCAGTATGACTTTTGGAACGGTTGCATCGAGGCTTCTGAAATAGTGTTGTTCCTGGGATTTGCGAGATGGTGTCAATTAAGAATTGTATTTTATCTTTTTTCTTTACGGCTTTTGTACTGAAACATTACAGAATATTAAATATATCTTCAAGGAAAGGCTACTACTACTGCTAATAATAATGGTAATAGAAAAAAAAATTAACAAAAAATGAAGGTTGAAAACCAAAAATAAGAACTTTTGTTTTGTTTTTTCTTTTTCGGAGGGCTTTTCTTTGAAGTTATATTTAGGAGTCGGTAAGGTTTCAGTGATGTGCTCTTTATTGGGGCATGCTTTTGGCCAGGATAGGTTTCAATTTGGATGGTTATGAATTAAGAACCTTCTTTGTCTGTGACTTTCTTTATGGCTGTATTCGAGAATATTGGCCTTGGTGGCTGGCTGTGATTACTCTGAGATGCTTTTGTGAGGATGTTCTGTTTGCAGTTTTTCTTCAGACTACGAGCCGCACACCATATTTTTATTGCGTGACCGGATTTTGAGTGTATATACATAAACATATATATATATATATATATTTATATTTATATTTGTAAAATTTATCATTTCCTCCGTTTAACATGTGTGCGTTATTTGTCTTTTTTTTACTGTTTTGTTTTGTTTTGTTTTGCATTTGTTGGGATGAATCATCATGCTATCATCTACGGGACCTTTTTTTTTTAAAACTCCCAATAATAATAATAACAAGATCATTAATAATAATAATAATAATAATAGTCCGTCCATGTTGGAAACCTATTTGCCTTCACTGGTTTTGTGCATTTCCGAGTGTATAGGAACTGTTGTGGCTGTGTGAGCCGAATGTTGGGCGGAAATGTGTCTTCTGGTGTCTTCTGAAATCCTTTATTTATCATTTATTTATTTTTCTTTTCACTTACTGCCTTTATAGGTGTAAAGAGGGCTTTAAACCTGCTTTGCGAGTATTCTTCTACAATGGAGAGCGCTGAAACCGTGTCGTATCCTAGTGAGGAGATGATGGTCCGATTGATAGAGGAACAACTTTGGTGCGGCTATGACGGTGTTCAGTCGTCTATTAAACTCCCCTTAGCGGACGAAAATGCCACTTATTTGCGTGAAACCCTCTTTCCTACCCTTATCCCGGCCCTCTATGACTTAGTGAGGCGTGAGCAACAGAGACTTTCCCAACCGTATGCATTTCCCGACCGATTCCAAGCAACAGGAAATACAAATCCGGTGACGTGGCTAGCACAGTACCTTCTGCGTAACAATACGCATCATAGTACGAATCTTCGCAATCATCCGTATGTATTGGTCAACTATGAGATGCTGAGGAAGCAAAAGGAAGCTGGGGAAGCAGCCGAGCTGTAGAGTATACAGTTTTTTTTTTTCCTTCCTATGCGTTTGGTCACATTTTTGACACTGTACATGTACATATGCGTATGTGCTCATATGTTTGCCAAAAAGTTGGAAGAAAAAGAAAATGCGGAAGATACCCACTTTTACTGGAAATATAGGATGTGCGTATGTACGTCTTTTTGTAATTTATGTGTCTGAGTTGTAGTCTGAAGAATCAAAAAGAAGAGAAAAAAAAAACAAGTGAACAAAGAAGAACAATATACACATATATAATATAATTTGCTGCAACACTTTTTTTTTTGCAGTTCATATATGTTTTTTTGTTTATTATTATTATTGCTATGAGTAAAATAAAAAAAGCTTGCATCTGACTATTAGAGCATTTTTTTAACGCTTCTTATTTTTCCGTTCTACTTAGTGGGGAGGAAGGGGGTGTTTATGGAACTTGACTTGGATGCGGTTTCGCAGGCGCTGGAGAAGTTAGTGGGAACGTCTCACCGTGGTTTTCCATCTGTTTCGAAAGTTAAAGCAGGAAAACGGGCTCCGTCACAGCCTCATGATGGGGCTGTTGGAGATGCTTTCCACAGCCATCATGATGGCAAGCAAAAAAAAAGGAGGCGCTAACGACTAAGCAGGAAAGTGCCATTGAGAATAATCGAGCTACGCAGGAGCTGTTGGTTTCTCCACGCAATAAAAAACAGCAACAGGGGGCGATGCACCGTCCACGTCATAGGCCTTCCATACAATTTGAGCCCTCACCTCAACCGGTTCTTTCTAGAGTTGTTGAAGCCAGTGGTGTTGGTGCTGCTGCTGTTTTTATTAGTGGGGCCACCAAAGGCAAGCGTCAGGAGGACAAAGTTTGGACAACCAACCTTAATCAAACTCCACATCCTTTTCTTGTGTTGAGTTCCCTTCCCAAGAACTATCTACGCAAGGAACTTATCTCGCATACGGCACCAACGAAGAATTCAACCGGTGTTCGTATCGAGCGCACAAGAGACATCGCTTTATCCATTTTGTTTGATGCTATCGTAGATGGCTCGGGAGAAGCAAAGACACCGATTGAGCGTCTTGTCGTGTCGTGCTCTAACCACCCACGCACAGGCTACGTTGGCGTTCTCCGCGTGAAGGACATAAAAGGCACGTTCACTCGCGCGGTGATTCCAGGCACGTTAGTGGCACCATTTGTGAAATTGACAATATTTCCCAGAGATGTAATTAGAATAAAAGTTCTCCGTGTGAGTGCGGTAGAATTGGCCTTTGCGAATAGCTGGACAGAGCGTCGCATTGTTGAGGAACCCATGACTTCCGCGGCAGACGAGACAGTAGAAGGGGGAGAGGAGGAAGTGGGTATCGCCAATACAGTAACCTATCCACAGAAGGCGGGCGCAGGCGAGAACGCAGGGGAACCCCACTCCGGCAACGTTGCAGCGCCAGCCTTGATGCGGAGTCCGGTGAAAGTGAAGAAGTCCTCGTTGGTGTGTTCCACAGCTCCCATTTCTCCCGTTGAGGCCGCGCCGGGGGATGGTGAAAGTATTTCGGATTCCAGTGAATTACAAACGCAGTTTGAGCACCCAGTATCGCTGAACGTAGCTCCTGTTGTGCAAGCGGAAATAAAGCATGTGAGGGAGAAGGAAGTTCCCCCCCTGAAAAGCGATAAGGCTCTTGGGGCGTCTGCAGTGGCGTTCATGGAGCAAAAAGATCACAAAGCAATGAAGAGCCCGGTTGGCAGTGAAGCAGACAGCCGTGTATTACTCTCCTTATCGAATAATGCTCCTTTGGTGCATGCTTCGCCACCTACACGTCGCGGCAAGAGTCATGAGGGCGCTCGAGCAGCACCCTCTCTTGTGGAAGGCGAGAAAAGCGACTCTGGCGGGTCGGGTTCGAATTCTGTTGAAACCGAGCTTGGTAGGAGACATGTGTCGAAAGCGTTGATTGCATGGACCATTAAACGACGTCTTCTCCAGGACAAAAATATCATGCGTTCCCTAATAACGGACACAGACGCCCCTTCTGGCGTGGCTCAGCCTGATTTACTTGGACGCTCGCACGAAGTGCGTGTGGCTGATAGCGATACGTCCGGTAGTCAATGCCGTGAAGTCTCTGCATCACGCGAGACTGCACAGGCGCGTTGTGCTTGGAATGCAGTGAATCACTGGACACGTGAGAACGCATTGCGAGAAGTAATGGCAGCAGCAAAAACGTTTTCGGTCGCAGTTGCACGTACATCCGAGGAAGTCGTTGCCTCCCTTTCACAGTCCTGCGGCCTACAGATGCTGTTTGTCTTGTCTGGTGAGGCCCACCGTCCGGCATCTTCCTCAGTTGATTGCTTTAACCTCATGACAACAATTGCGCGCGCCGCAGGCCGAAGCGGACGCAATACAGAGCTTCTGTTTCGAATGGAAGATGGGTTTGCTTGCTTGTTGCATCCGCGCCGTGAGTTGGAGTTGAAACCGCAATGGTTACTGGTTTCAGCGCAGGCCCAACCAGCACTGGTAAGCGATTGGCTGTTGGAAGCTCTGCGTCTTCACGACAGCAGCGATGGAGGTTCGCAGTCGTTTCGGGGACGACAGTCTGCGGATTCTGTCGCGGCCTCAAACGCCACGGCAGGGTTGGCTCCTTTGCGCAAACCGGCCGTGCTGCAATCTGTTGTTGATTTTTCCTCTCTGTTTGAGCTCCTGTTGCCGGCATTGAGGGCTTGGCTTACTTTGGGAGACCTCTGCTACTACGGCGACGTTCATCCCGTTCTTCGCCCCTTCATCGATGAGGACGGCGTCATTCATCCTACAGGGTGGTTTCAATGTGTTCTGCGTGGGGCCGTGCGGTCCGTGCTGTTGTCCTTGCCAGGCGCAGGGTGCGATGACCCGCGTGAGATGCCGCCCACAGCGCGGCGGCGACTTGCATGCATCACGCTGGGTAGACTTGTGCCGTTTTCGGCGGTGTGGCAGCCACACCCTCACGCTGTAAAGGTTGTGCTATCAAATGACCACGCGCTTCACCACATCGAGTTACTGCACGGTGTGTTGCTGGATCGCCGCGAGTTGGCGGTGGCTGCGGCCCTCTCACCTCAGTCGCAGGGCAAAATGGAGCCCCTCAGTGACGGCAGCACCCCGATTGTGTGCACATCTTCGCGTGGCAGATGTGCTGCGGCTGCGACTGAGTTTCCAGCATCCTCGGGCAATGCCGCGGCAATGAGTGCCTTGGCGTTTCAGGTTTTGGCCACCGCCCTTCGGCGCTCGTGGATGGTGGTAGGACTGTCACTTTTGCCAGGGATATCGTTTGACGAGGACGCGTTCATGGATACCGTGCTTCGCTGGGCGTACGCCTGGCCGCGCACCATTGTCCTCTTCTACACGGATCCTCCTTGGAACGAGGAGTCCTCGTCTCCTTTTTCCGCGGCGTTTCTCGAGGCCTTTGCGCCTGTGGCTGGACTGCGGAGCGCAATAGAGGCTGTTTCTGCCAACCCATAGAAGGGAAGGGAAACGTAGAGCGAAGTGCGGCGGAGGGAGCGCAGACATCTTCTTGTAACGCCCTATCCACCCATCCGTGGGCTTTTTTTTTTGATGGGGTTTCCCTCTTGCTATACAACGTCTGTGCCCTTCTCGGCGTGTACATTTTTGCTTCTCAGAGTGTGTCTAACGCCCCCCTTTTTTTTAGCATTATTATTTTTAATTCTTTTTTCGTTTCGCGTCTTGTTGCTGCGTCTTCACTCCGCCTTCCTCCCTGTTTTTCTTGTCGTTGTGCCTCTGGTAAACTGTGACACCTGCCAGATAAGCGACTAGTAAAAGGAAAAGAGAGAAAAAAAAAGAAGGAAGGCCGGAGGAGAAGCGGGGAGGTAAAGGGTTGAAAAGTGAAGAGTCGGTAAGCCACTAAAAGTACGTAATAGGAGGTCCATCGCTACGCATAATTGTAAGGGGAAAGGCGAGCGCGCGCGCGAGAGAGAGACCCAGGTCCTCCTTCTTTTTCTGCTGCTGCTTCTCGTAATTTCCATTTCTTGACTCCTTTTTGCCGTCGTCCAAACATTGCGGGGGAGATGGATCAGACGCAGCTTCTACGCCTACTCGACAACCTGAGGTCGGCGGACAACTCCGTGCGCAAGGCGGCGGAGGCGGAGTATGAGACAATTGCCACGAATAACGGCGTGTGGATGATGTGCAGCCTCTCGGAACTCTGCGCCGTCACGGAGAGCCCGCAGTCCATGCAGATGGGCATGGTATTGCTAAAAAAGCTCTTCAGCAGTAAGTCCAACTGCTACGACGTCTCGGATGCGCAGACGCAGCAGGCCGTGAAAGGGCTCATGTTGCAGGTGCTCGGGAAGGCGGCTTTCGGTGTACAGCGGGGATTGGCCGCGGCGTGCGTGAGTGCCCTTGTCGTCAAGATGCATGCGCTGGGCCAGGAATGGGGGGAGCTTTGGCAGAGTGTGTTTCAGATCCTCGAGAATGCGGAGTCGGCCTGTCAGCTCAAGACGATCTGCTGCGAGATCATTGCCGCGACGGGTCCCACCATGGCGAACTACTTCGAGGCCTACACAGCCAAACTGGTGACTGGAATTAAGAATTGCCTGACAGACCCCTCCGTGGAGGCGCGAAAGAGCGCCTTTGACGCCCTTGTCAACGTTGCCATGTGTTACCCTGTGCCCGAGTTGGCCGAGTTGGTTCCCTTGATGCTGCAAGCTGTACAGGACGCCCTCAACGCCTCCAACTGGGATGACGCGGAGCAGTTGACCGGTAAACTCGCAGACGGCGTCGCCAATGCCGCCGGGCTTTTTGTGGGTCACACATCCGCGCTTCTGCAGGGATTGATGGAAGTGGCCTCGACACCGTCAGTAGGGGCGGGCGCACGTCACATGGCCATTGAGGCTTTACTGACCTACTGCGAGAGTGAGCCGAGGACGGTGCGCAAGGTGCCACACTTCTCCGCCTCCTTCCTGCAGCTCCTGTTTGAGTACACACTCAACCCCGAGATGCCGGATGACTGGGACGAGAAGGGCGTCAACCTTGACGGGGAGGACCTTGAGGAGGACAATGATGACACTGTTGGGAGCAGCGGGATTGATCGACTGGCGTCGGCGCTTGGCGGGAGAAAGCTGGACGCCTTGGCTCAACGGCTCTTCGTCGAAAACATTCACTCTTCCGATTGGAAGCGGCGTAATGCGGCACTGCTGCTTATTACGTACCTCGCGGAGGGCATGGCGACGGTTCTTGAAAAGCATCTTGAGCAAATCGTTCATATGGTTATCCCTGCCGTCCGGGATGAGGTGAAGTACGTCCGCGCCAGCGCTCTGGATTGCCTCACGCAGATGTCCAGCGATTTTGCACCGAAAATGCAGGAGCAGTTGTCCGCGGTAATTGTTCCAGCCGTCATGGGGTGCCTCGGCGACAGTGTGCCAGCCGTTGCAACGCGTGCGGCCCGCTGCCTGGATTCCTTCTTTGACCAGTGCGAAGAGAGTGAAAACGAGGATGACACGCTCTTCCTCAAGCTGTTCGAAGGTTACATTGAGGGCCTCTGCGTCTCCCTCGTGACGCTTCTGAAGCAGACACCGCACAGGTTTCTTCGCGAGGATTGCCTCGGCGCCCTCTCTTCCGTCATCTCCACCTGCAAAGGTCTACTGAAGCCGTATGCCAGTCACCTTGTCCCTGTGTTCCAGGAGATTTTGGCGATGCCGGATGCCCCGGAGACGGTCATGATGAAGTGCAAGACCATCGAGTGCACGACGCTCTTGGCCTGTGGGGTGGGCAGGGAAGTTTTTGCCCCCTACGCCCATGATATGTGCGGCTACCTGCGCGATCTGCTGAATCACCTGGCAAGGGGTTCGAAGGACGACGACATGCGTCTGCGCTACGTGCTTCGGGGCTGGACATGCATGACGGATTGCCTCAGGGAGGAGGTGGCTCCCTACCTGGAGATTGTGATGCCTGTGCTTATCTCCATGATGAATGTGGAGTGTGACACGGAGGTGGAGAACGCCGAGGTTGGCGTCGCCGACGACGACGAGGATGAGGACGAGGATGACAATAAGGTGACCACCATGCGCGTGGTGGTCCCCGGCGTGGGTGTCAGGAGGATCAAATTGCACACGGGCCTCATTGAGGAAAAGGACCTTGCGGCCAGCGTTGTCAGCGCCATGCTGTCGTATGTTGGGCGGCAGCTTTTGCCGCACCTGCCGCAAATTACGGAGTCCGCCGTGAAGCTGATCAGCTTCCAGTCAGACTCCTCCATCCGCGAGAGCGGGGCGTTGATTTTAGACGGCGTGATGGACGCATACGACCCGACGGGGCGGGCCCAAGTGGCGGTTAGCGTGATGTCCCCGCTCCTAAACCAGTTTGCGGAGGAGGACGACTTGGAGGCGTCGAGCGCCATGTCGGTGGTGATTAGCCGTTGCATCGACGATGCACCCACGCTTGTGTCACCGAAGACGGTGGACTCCATTAGCGAGAAGATTCTTGGGGTCTTGCAGCGCGCGATGGAGAGCCGCGCGGAGAGTCTGCAGTCCCAGTTGCAGGAGAACGACGACGACGAGCTGGACAAGCTGAAGCAGGAGGAGGAGGAGGCGGACGCCCTCATTCGCGACACCTGCGACCTCCTTGACAAGATGCTCGAGCGTGCCAGCGCCGTCTTTGCCCCCGTTTTCAACACCAAGTTCATCCCGGTCCTGCAGCGAATGCTCAAAGGGGACGAAAAGGACGTCATGGTGGCACGCGGTCTCGCGCTGCTGTGCAGTTTAGTGGAGCACGCCCCGGACCACGTGACTGGCTTAATCCCCACGATTGTCGAGAGCGTCATCGACTTTGCTCGGCGGCACCAGGACGCCGATGTGCTGCAATCCGCCTTCTATCTCATGAATCTTTTGCTGCAGTACTTTGAGCACCACGAGTATCCTGCGACTCGGCAGTTTGTTGAGCAGGTGCACGGGATTGTCACTCGTTACTTGGCCGTGCAGCACAACGAGGAGTACGAGGATGCCACGTGCAACGCAATTAGCACGACGGTGACGCTCCTCTCGCTGTACCACCAGCTTCTGCCGGAACAGGAACAGGCACAGACGCTTGCCCGCGTCGTGAATTCCCTCCCCGCTGGCGGGGACAAGACGGAGGCGTGCCGGGTGCACGAGCGTGTGCTGATGTGGGTCGTGCAGCGACACCCGCTGCTGAAGGGAGACGAGGCACAGGCGAAGACAATTCTTCTGCGACTCCAGGCGGCCGACGAGGACGTGCTGAACGAGTCCACGCGGGCCCAACTTGCGCACATGTAGGCTGTCGACAAGGGGAGAGGCAAAACTCCAGCTGTGGCGGCCGCAACCGTGGAGGGGGCAGCGGGGCGAGGAGAAAAACAAAAACAAACAAACAAACATAAAACAAACAAACAAACAATGAAGCAACAGACCAGGGATAAAAAGACGACCGCGGGGAGCCCAGAGGCCGAGGTGACGAGAGAACGGAGGGGGACTCTGTTCCGCGAACGATGCAGGGGACGCAGCTGGAGGGACAAGCCTGCGATGACGAGAAGATTCCGTGAATGCCGCCGCCGCTGTTGTTGTTGTCGTTGTCTTTGGTTTCTTCTTCTGCTCCCTCTTCGCCGCGTCCCCTCCCTGCGGCAGCCGCCGTCGTTGGAGTTGTCCTCTGCGCCCAGGCACACCCCCAAGCGGCGGCATTAACCTCCACGTCCCCACATGCACGCAACTGCCGCGGAGCCACGTGCTACAATAGTGGGCGTGTGAAAGCAGCGCACGCGTGCGTGCGCGATATATATTTATATATAAGCCAATAAAAAAGGACCCAATACACAGAGAAAAAAAGAGGAAAACAAAAACTGCAAGGCAAAAAACAAAAACATAGGAAACTGAGCCCTGTGCCCCGCAATACAATTGAGGAGAGAGAAGGGACTGCGTGAGAGCGCATGAGTGGGTCTTCCTCGCACATGTGCTCAGGTACACAATAACTGGGGCGTATTAACGTCGTGACGGGCATGCGGTGTCCGTCATTAACATTTCTAATCTGGGCCGCTGTTGTAAGGGAGAAGGGGGTTGCGCCCCGACTTGAGGAGGAGAGGGGCGCGCTGGTGCCAACCCACGAATAACTTGGCAGTAATGGAAAACACATATGCATATAGATATATATATGCTTTTAAATCGATCAGATTCACCTGGAAGACTTTTTGCGTCGTTGTTCATCACGGACAGAAGAGCGAATAACGATGAGGAATTAATGCCACGAGCCGCAAACCGTCCGACTCATCTTTGGTCCTGCTTAGGGGCCCTTCCTTGTGTGTGTCCCTGTTTGTTCCGTGGGCTTCGACTCGGCCGCTCCGCGTGTGCGTGCCGTTACTGAGTGATTGGAGTGTTGCCAGATTTCTTCCTCTCTGCGGCTATCTTGCTCTGTCTTCCTTCTTTTAGTGTGTGTGTGTGTGTGTGTTTGCTGCCGTTGCCGTTGCCTACTCTGCGGAGGGGGCTGCTGTGACACGCGCCGCGTGCCACCCTTCATCCCACGTTGGCTGCGGGTAGGGAGTTGCATGCGCGCGCTGCGGGTGGCCGTGTAGGAAGACGCAAAAATCACAGACGCCAAAAAAAAAAGAAGGCAAATAAACAAACAAAAATAAAAGCAGAGAGGCGGAGGAAGCGGGGACGACCGCAGAGGGGAGGCTGAGGCGAGGAAATTCACTGAACCCGCAAAACAAAGCCAAAAAGAAAAAAATATAAGAAGACGCAAAAGAGGAACTGAGTTTGGGGTTGGCTCGAGTCAACATGGGCGGCAACTCAAGCCGGGAGATGATGAGCCCGTACGCGGTGAACACCCCGCTCATGGGTGTTTGCTTCACTTCCTTGCTCTTCAACAGCGTCCAGGGTGGGACCCTGCGATCTTCTAACGTGTACAACAACTTCATTTTGCTTTACATGCTTGGCTTCTCCACGGGATGCTCGACGGTCCTTCAGCAGCCGTTATGGGGCGCGAAGCTGGGTTTACTTGCCTCCTTCTTCTTTACATTTGGCCCCAATGTGCGGATGCTGTACACGCAGCGCCTCTTCCCAGACTACGTGCGCTACGCCATTGGAGGGGGTTACATGACGTATCATGCGCTGCAGTGGTACCGTGAGGCGACGTACTTTGAGGATGCCATGGAGGACAACCAGGACCACTAAGCTGCAAAAAGAAGCGGGCGTTCTCCTTTTTGCGTTTTTTTTGTTTTCTCCCTTCTTTCCGCGGCGCTGGCACTGGCTGAGAGAGACAAGGAGAGAGCGGAGGAGAGAGAGAGAGAGAGAGAGTTCTCCCTGTGTGTGTGTGTGTCTGCGAGTGTGTACGTGTGTGTGGGGGTGGGGGGTGGGGAGCGGAACACATACCTGCAGTGAAATGGGGTGGAATGGGTGAGGTGGGCGGCCTCTTTTCTCACTCTTGTTATGCCGTTTTGCTTTGCATGGACAACCTTCATTTGCCCCCTGTCTTGCTGCTCTTGGCGCATTTCACGACAAAACACACACAACAACAACAACAAAAACAACATCAAGAAAAAAAAAGTGACCGCGCCGCACCGTCGTGCGACCTTCTGCGTGAGTCTGTAGGTAAGGCGCTTGAAGAGGAGGGGCGAGACGAAGGGCGAAGAAGAAGCAGAAGAAAATAAGCGGCGGTACATTTTATAGGCATTCAATGGTGGCTTCGCATTCGACCGGAGTCTTCTTCACAGGGGTCCCTCTATTTGTGGAGCCGCAAAGCCTTCGAAAGCATTTTGAGAGCGTTGGCCACATCACCGACTTTCGCCTTTTGGGCCCGGCACCAGGAAGGGACTTCCGCTACGGTTTTGCCGACTACCTGGACGTCACCAGCGCAGAGGAGGCTATTCAGCGGCTCAATGGCACCTCCTTCGGCGAACGCACGATGAAGGTCACGTCGGCGGCAAACTCGCGATCTAGAAAGCGCAGTCGCCAGCATGTGCACACACATGAGCCACCGGTGCGTGGCGGAATGGTGTTCCCACGCGGCTATGTTGACCCCTTGCTGGGTCGCGACGACAACAATGTATTGGAATGCTTGCAGCGCATGCCTGTAGCGGACGCTTACGAGGCGGTCGAACAACTCCGCGTGTTGGTGTTAGAGCGGAAGGACGAGGCGCGGAAGCTGCTTGATAGTTGTCCAGCGCTCCGGCTAGCCGTCGTGATGATTCTGCAGCATGCAGGACGTCTGCCGTACGGTCCGCTTCCGCTTGAAGCGGTGCGGCGCACGGACGCTCGGCCTGTCAACGCGGCCCCAACGACGGCGGAGGAGGATACTGCAGAAAAGAAGGCTGAACCCACGGAGGAGGAACGCGACGAGGTGATTGAAATTCTGACAAAGCTCAGTGAGGAGGATGTGGAGCGCATTGTCACTATGAGTGAGGAGGATCTTGATCGCATTCCTGACCTTGTACAGAGGCAGCAGATGTCCGTGCTACGGGCCCGATTGTTGGATATGGCAGGCAACCTTGAATGAGTCCAGCGTCCCTGCATTACGCCTGTCTGCGTGGATGCCGCTGTACTCTTGCTTGTGGATGCACCACTAACACCGAACGTCTAGTGCATCTGTTGTCGCCCATACCGCAATGCTTTCTTTTTTGGATTTCTTCTTTCTTTTCTTTTCTCACCCGGATTGTGTGCGTGCATGCCTTTCCCCTTTCCTCGAATTTCCTCTCGTTCCCTCGCTCTTTCTTCCTCTGTGTGTTCAGCTTTTACGGACCACCACACTTTGCCTCTTTTTTTTTTTTGCCTCCTCTGCTTCTTCACACCGCTGACGGCTTGGGGAGCGAGCGCGTCAGGCCCAGCGGTCCTCCGCAGCCTTCTCTTTCACCCAACTTTTTACCGGCGGCGCGGAGCTTGCGGCAGAGGTGCGAGGCGGCCGCCCAAGGCGGGAGAAGCGTGGGGAATAGCTGGCGGCGGGGGGAACGGGAGGCGCCTGCGCGAGACAAATGCATCGGGGAGCTTACCAAGTTCGATTTTACGACTCCTCTGACGACGAGCAGAATGTGCGGGTTGCGGAGGTGATGCCGGTGGTAGACGACCCCCAGCCACTGCCGGAGGCGGCAAGTAGTCGCCAGCAGCAGCAGCAGCAACAGCCGCCCTCGTGGATAAGAAGAGCCGTCGACAGTGCCGTGACGTGCGTCGCATCGGCGCTGACGACGCAGTCGGGGGCGCCGGCCAGCACGCAACTCACCATCGCGAGGGCCTCCTCGAGTTCTTCAAACGACAGCGGTGACTGGGGCTACAGGGGTTATTGTAGATCGCCTTTTCATGAGGAGACACCGCCACCCAATGACTCGCTGGATCGCTCTGAGGACATTGCCGTTGACCTGCGTGAAGTGATTCTCCAGTATAGGCGGACGCCCAACGATGTGTGCAAGCGGATCATTCTTGCAGCGCTTGACTTTAGAGAGGTTCAAATCAACGGCGATGTGTTTCGCGCTGCTGCCGGCAACAGTGAGCTCATTGGAACTCTGCTACGTTCAGGACGAGTCAACTTCGATGATCCTGATGTACAGGAGGTCATTCAGGAGGAGATCGATTCCGCGTTGCGGGTGGACCGGGCGGACCGGGTTCGTACTTATCCAGACAAAATTGGGTACCTGAGGCTGCTGTGCCGTGTGCGTAGTGCAACCCTGACGCAGGAGCAGGCGCGGCAATGCCGTCAGTCAGGCTTTGAATATGCCAAGCTGCTTTACGACAATCCGCATCTTTTGCGAAATATTCCACCACCTAGTTGGTTTGTGGCGCGTATATTAGATTTCTTCTCCATCCTGGTCATGGTCATCACGTGGCTTGGCTTGGCTGCCACCTTGCTCAACTTTGTGTCCGTCGGCTGGCTTGCGTCCATTTGGTTTCGCAGCAATCATCCCTCCTTTGGTTACTGGACGATCCTCTGCTACGTGGCCGGCTACGTGGGCAGCATTGTTGTGGTGATGACCTCCGAGGAGGGGCGCATTCGCGACTACGACGACCGCCTCTGGGACTACCCAGACAACTCGCTGAAGGTCGTCCCTTGCGTCCCTTTTTTTGAGATCGCCCTCTTGTATGTGACACTGCGGTACGAACTTCTTCGCGACAAGGCAAAATACTTCGTCATTCGACACGACTTGTACAATGGCCTCTCCAATGTCTTGATTATTAACACTTATTTGTTCGCCACCCCGCAGTTGCTCTTGCAGTTTTATCTCAGCTCGCTGCATGACCCAGATACGAAGGAGCTTGCCGCCTATGGACTCCTGGCTTGTGTCAACTACACATTGTATGGGATGTCCATGTGCCTGTTCATGTGGAATATCTTCTTTCAGTACTCCTGCAACAGTTTTGGGTTTGCCGTGATGGCGGTAAAACAGGCCCTCTTGATGCCTATCGATGTCACCACTCGTACTCTCATTGTCACAGCGTTATTCTACCTGGAGTGCAACGTTGTCGCCTGTGTGATGTCGCTTAGCGACATTTATAAATGTTCATGGGAAACGATTGTTTTCATTGCGGTTCTGGTGACACTGATCGTCATTGTGATTATTGGGTTTGTGCTGGTCATCCTTCTGGGCGCCATACGACACATTTGGGCTGTGTGTTTGCTTTCCATTTTGCTGCAGGTGGTCTTTAGCATATACGCCGTCGGGAACGCTAGCGAAGACCAAGAAGTTTGTAGACTGCTGGCTATTTCCACTTCCGTTGTGCCACCGTTCACGTACGTGGCGTATGCGGCTTTCTGCGTCACGTTTCTTGCCTGGGTGGCTGTCGCGCTTCACGGTAAAGTAACGGGCAGGCAGTCGTACCTGCGTTGGGACAACCACTTCTATTGGTCCTGTGGACGATGAGACCGGCAACACAGGCCCGCACTTCCGCGCCGAGCTGGAAATGTAGTTGCTATGCCTCTCTGTTTTTCACCCTCTAAATCAAAACAAGTCTAACGAGAAAAAAAAGGGGAAAACACAAAACACCGTGGCTTTGGAGCCCATCTTGCGGCACCGTGCACCCCGCACACACACACACACACACAGTTGCATGCTCTCATTGTATCTATTACTCTTCTGTTTCCGCTTTTTTTTTTTACCTCTCGCGGCTTCATAGTCTGGCTGTGTCAACGTGTGTGGTTTCATTACACACCGCCACGAGCGCTGGAAGGGGAAGGAACTATATATATTGCGGCCCGCCCAGGCGATGCAACAGACAGAGATAGTAGGGATCGAAAGCACCCACCCCTCTTCCAGGGGTGCGAGGCTGGGGTTGTACGACTCGTACGACTTTGGCGTGCTTGCCGTTGATGTCGTCCTGGGCGACGGAACACGGTGGATGCTGGAATTCGCGGAGAGCCTTTACCTTGGCCGTCTGCTGTCGATGCGGCCGCCCGTGGTCCTCTCTTTTGGCTCAGCGCAGGCGATGCGGGAGCTCGAGAAAGTTGTTGTGCTCCTCCACGGCAAGGCCCCCAAGGCGTTCAGCGATGCCATGGACGAGCGCAGCAGGGGGGCGAAAACCGCCACGGTGAGGGTCCACGAAACGACCAACGCAGAGGCCGTTGGGAGGACAATGCCGGCTGCCGCACCCACCGCGGAGGGGTTAGCCGGCGACAGGAGCGCCCTCGTGCGTGCCTACGTGCGTCAGATGTCGGACAACCGGAAGCTCTTCATGGACGTGCTTGAGCTCGCGGCACGCCTGGAGATGGAGGAGGCATTTCCACTTCTCTGTGAGGAATTCAGTCGCATTTTTGAGGAGGAGGTTAGAGGGAAGTTCTCCACTAGTCTCTCCTTGTTAGAGGAACTTGTGGAGACTGGACAGATGGGGATTGAGAAGTTTAGAAAGGCTGTCCTGCAGGCCTTTGCACTAGACGATGCCTCCTCGGTTTCCTCAAGGGAGGAGCAAGGACAACAAAGGCCCTCCACCCGTGATGCGGTGGCCCAGCAGTGGCTGAGGCGGTTGGGAGAGGACCATTACTTCTTTCCGAAGGGACAGCTGATTGGCGAACTCACACAGTCTCTAGACCCGGAGCTGCCCGTGATGCACGATGAAACACCCTTTGAGGACGAATTTACCCCCAACTTTGAGAGGCATCCATTTCACAGCCCAGTGTGGGAGCCGGAGGATGCCGCCAAGGCGTGTCCTGTGTGCGGGGTGACTTTTGCCCCATGGTCCATCTTTTCCTTCAATACCGTTAGGCCAAGCCATTGCCGCTGCTGTGGCCGGCGCATCTGCTCTCGCTGCACCTCATGGCAACTGGATAAGTCAATCGCGAAACTGAACAAGCCTGGCGTGGCAGAGGAGGGTCAGCTTCGACGCGCCTGTAAGGAGTGCTTTGACAAGGCGGAAAAACTGAACAAACACGCGTTTTTGTGTGAAATATTTGTTCTTGCGGGTCTGTCTTTGACCGAGATCGCGCTCCTGCGTTCTATAAATCCACAGTGGAAGGGGGCCTCAGAGTTGTGTCTTAGCGACTATAGGTCTTCGCTGTATCAACACGCCTCGTGGAAGTTGGCAGTGGCGCCGCAGACCGCGCGCATCCTGGCAAGCAGCGTTGACATCTTGGTTGGTCATCCTGAGCCGCTCATCTTTCTTTTCATCTCCATGGATTGGAGTAACCAGAAACTCGTCGCTGCGGCCTGCGCAACGCTCGAGAAGACGTTGAAGGATGCGGATCCGTGGGTGCGGTCGGGCTGCTCCCGCGCCTTTTGCTGGAGGCCATCCGTTAGCCACTGGCACATGCTGTGCACCAGGGCGTGTGGTCTGATGCTTCCGTCGTTTTTTGCCATCAAGATGCTTGAGTGCCTCCACCGCGCGCCGGAGGGACACCCCACCGCGGATCTGATGCGCCTGATGGTGACGAAGGAGCTTCTCTTAAAAAAACTATCCTGTCTGGACAGGCGCGTCTGCGAGTGCGTGGTTGTGCTTCTGCTGGATATCTTTGAGCTGACGACGTGCCAGCCACATGCCACGTCGGTGCTACTGCGCTTGTCTGCTCAGGACCGAAGTCTGGCGCTTATGATCTTCCAAGAGACCTTCGCCCGCTGCCGCTACGATGAGTTGAGCTACCAGACCCTGCGGGAGCTTGTGATTGATGTGGATCGCACGAGGCGGCCCGAAACGCATCAAACGTTTCTTAATACGCTGCAATTTCTGGACGTGCTGCGGTCCCCGTGGACGGAGGGTGTCAAGCAAAACGACATTGCCGGCACGCGCGAGTCGCTGTACAAGAGCCTCCGCAAGGCTGGGCTGTTGCTCGTGGCAAGGGAGGCACAGGATGCGGCACTGGTGAACACCTACGCCATCTGCCCGATCCTCTTTCCCTTCGACACCAGGGTTGTGCTGACCAAAATTGGCTTTGGCGGCATTTTAGCAATGAACTCGAAGCAGCGGCCTGTGCTGATTCCTCTTATCGACGAGGGAGGCGAGCAAATTTGCATTCTCTACAAGAATGAAAACCTTGAAAAGGACAAGGTGATGTGTATCGCCTCGCGGTTTCTGCAGAGTGTGCTCTACAAACAACTAAGCCACGTTGTGCTTCCCACCTACCACGTCATGCCCCTTTCATCCTCCTCCGGAATCATTGAGATTGTGAAGGACGGGCACACCGTTCAGCGTGTCATCCAGCCGTACAAGGAGCACCGCCTGCTGCAATATCTGCTGCAGCTGGACCAATACTACGGACATCAGAAGGAGCAGCAAAATCGGGATCAGCAGCAGGGAGCGGGGGCGTTTGCGCAAGGGGAGGAAAGTGGCTCGGTAGTCAACGTCCACAATAACTTCCTTTGCTCGGCAAAATTTTTTATTTTGATGAATTACATTTTTGCCATTGGGGATCGGCACCGTGACAATGTGATGGTGCACCCAAGCGGTGCCATCTTCCACATCGACTTTGGAATGCTGCTGAATTCGCGCACGCTGGCGGAGCGGGTCACCACCAGCTACGTGCGATTTGACCTCGACCTGGAGGAGTGTGTGCTGAAGTTCATGCGCGACGACGAGAAGCGGTGGCAGGGCTCGTTATTGCCCGGTTCCCCTCCGCCGCCTGATCAAGGGCCGATTGCAACTTCCCCGGCACACACCTCGGAAGATTTTCTCTCCAGATTTCTGATGGAAACGGCTGACTGGTTTCTTGAGGTTCGGCCGTACGCGAGTATTCTTTTTCAGCTCCTCTCCCACGTTCTCTTTCGGCAGGCGCTTGACGGTGTGCACTCAGTCGAGCAGCTCATGGCGTTGATGCATACTATATTTATGCGCGATGCGGCGGAGGGGACCTGCAAGACGCTGTTTTGTGATCGTGTCAGGCAGTCGCGGGGGCAAACGTGGCTGAAGGACCTCACCCATGACACGCAGAAGCAAACGTGGATCATGGTGGCGCAGGGGCTGAAGTGGGTGCGGGAGAAGACCGGGCTCGACCGCTTTGATGCCCCGCATTGAGGCAGCGAAGGACCAAGCGTGAAGTTTCACCAGTTGGCCAACCGGCGTTGGAAATATTAGCGGGCAGCGAGGAGGACAAGGACAGCGGTAGGAGACGCGAGCACGACGTGCATGCTCATTGAAACCTTGCCTCTTTTCAATTTGATGATTCATTTTTTGAGAGTTTTCTTGCTTGTTATCTCTTCTTGGCTCTTCACCCTGCTGCTTCTAAGCCGCCGCTTCGTTCGTTTTCCCCTCGCGCTCCATATGTATATCTACAAAGTAGAGTGCTTTTTTTTTTGCATTTTAGTTCCCCTTCGGCATGCTTAGTTTCCTTGTGTTTATTGCTCCCTGCAGTTGCTCCCCCCCCCCAGTTTTAGTTACTTTTTTTTTTCTCCTCTTGTTTCGTTTTGAACGCGTTGTTGTTTTATTTACTTTATTCTGCGAATGTCTCCATTTTGTTCCTGCTCAGGGACTATATTTGCTGCACACGTGTGCTGAACGCGTTACAGCTCTTTTTGAGAGTGTGCTGGGTTGGTGTTGACCGAGCTGCCTTCGCTGTTAATTCCTACTGGCCCTGCACGGCTCGCCCCCGTCCCTTTGGACGGAGCGTGGCTGTTTGCCTTCCTTTTTCCACCGTCACCCGTAATGGCTCTGTTTTGTTGCCGCTGTTCTACTTCTTGGCTCACTTGGAACTTGAGGATAACCACATAGGGTCTTTTTTTCCCCCCTTTTTTACTTGTTTTGGTTTGTGTGTGTTTTTTTTTCCTGTTTTCCCTTTCCCTCCGAAAGGGCTCTTGCGTTGCATTTTTATGGACAAGGAGGAACTCCCGGGGGCGGCGGCGGCCGGTGTTATGCCGCCTAGCCTGACGATCAGAACAACGTTTAAGCGGGCTCACACCTTTGCGGAGGTGAGCAAGGCGGTGAAGTCGCTCTACGCTTCCGTGTCGCATGGGAATGCTTCTGTCAACACGCTGGCCAGCGCCTCAAAGACGCGCCACCACGGCGAGGGAGCGACGGTGGAGGGGGGCGCGAAGATGTTGTGCGTATGGGACGTGGACGACACGTTGGTCGCCTCGGGAGTCCCTGGGGTGCGTCAGTGCCCCATGTTCGCCGACGATGAGCTGACCGGCCTCTTCCGTAGCTGCCCTGCCAGGCACCTGTTGCTGTCGCAGGGCAGCGTGGATGACGTGTTTGCCCCCGCCCCCGCGGGGAAGCTAGAGTTCCTGGCGCCCTTTTTCCTCTCGGGCGGTAACCCTCTCGGCAGCCACGTAGGCAAGGCGCTGCCAGGCTGCGGCAACCTGTTTGTGTGCTCAACGCCGCCAAAGGTGCGGCGTCCCGGCGGCACAGGCCCGGCCAGTAGTGATGGCGTAGTTGTGCGCATCGCCACCAGCCGCGCCCCGCGAGAGCAGCCGGGGGACGCGGAGAGTTTTCTTAGCGAAACGGCAGAGCCCCCGCGGTGCTCAAGCGATGTCCGTTGGCTGGTGATGCGGTCTTCTCTGTGGGGCATCTCACTCGCAAGTCTCTCCAACTTCGTTGCTCCGTCGGCACACACTGCCTTTTTTGATGGCTCTGTATTTCACAAGATGGACATTGTGCGGTCACTGGCGGCAAGCGGGTTTTGGGACGCCGTATTTTTTATCGACAATGACTTGACAGAGATCGGCCTGGTGCGCCCAGGGCTTAACGTCGAAGACTACTACCGCATGCAGAGCCTGGGAAGGATGTCGCGTTTCTTTCAGTCCGACCTGCTCCTGCTGCAAGTCTCTGCGGAGTTGGCAGAGCGGAAACACTGTATGGAGCACTCTGTCTCCAATGGCGAGTCCTTGAGAGGGGATGCCTCCGTCAACTCAAGAGACGGCAAAAAAGCGAGTGAGAAGAAAAAGAAAAAGGGCTGCGTCAATGCGGAGTTCCTGCATTTTGGACTTCCAGATGTGTTAAACGTCGGCGGCAACTCGGCATCCTCGCTGACGCGCTTGCATCAGCCCTCCACACGCGTGGTGGAGCTTTACCTGGCACACCTGCACTTTGACGGGCCGCGGTACCGCCGCATCACGAAGGCGAGTCAGGTCGCCATCGACACGGGCGCGAAGGAGCTATGGCACCCGGTGTTTCGCACCGGCCCGGCGTGCAATGACGAGGACTACGCCAAGTTGATGGCGAGCTTCTCTCTCTACGAGGACGAGGTGCGAAGCTACGGGCTGGAGGCCGAGCCGCAGCTCTCGCCGGTGCCTGGGTGGGAGCCCAGCGTCGACGTCGTCACCCGCCCGATATACGCTCGACCGCCGTTCCCCCGGCGCCTCGCCCACCAGTACCGCAACATATGCCACCAGATTACGACGAACCTGATTGAGCCGTGCGGCCGACGCCTGACCGAGGAGCAGCAGTACGAATTGAAGAAGGAGGCAAACAATCTCTATCGGCGCCTCATTCGTCGACAACCGGTCATTGACCCGATGCTCACCGCAAACTTGGCGAGCTCGTTGTTTAGCGCCTTTACTGCGGAGCATCGCCTGCCCCGGAGCCTGGGCGAAATATTGAAGAAAGACCTTGACGCGCTTATGGAGGGCACACTACCTGAAGAGACGGTCGCTTGTAGTGGAGACGTACGCAGCTAAAGCTGGGAATCTGCGGACGCGCGGCAACGGGCGCAGGGCGTCAGTGCAACTGGGAAGGCAGGAAGAGAAGAGGACAAGCAGTGGGATTTATATTGCAACACAGATGGAGTTGATAATGTGGACATATAATGACGAACGAATATCATGTTCTTTTTTTTTTTCTTTGATTGATTGAAGTGCTTGGCATAAGATGTTAGCCGTCAGTGTTGATGGAAGGGGACAGTCAACAAAACCAAGGCCAAGAACAACAGGCTGAGCATGCCTGTTTAGCCGGCGCTTCTGACGTTGTGGATCTTGGCTCGCTTCTTCGCCCCGCTTTTTTTTTGTTTTGCCCCCCACCCATTGTTGCTACGTGTTTCACGTCGAAACACTGCTGCGGGATTTCACTGACCAACGTGTGTGGAAGTACGCCCTGGCGGGGGGGCAAATGAAAAGTAGAGGCATACAGCATAGTCAGAGAAGGGGTAAAAACTGAGGGGTGCAAGAGCACAAAAAGAAAAAAAAGAAGAAGGAATTGTTTGGGTGTTCTCAAGTATCCTTTCTGCCCTTCGGTTTGAGATGTAGTCCCCGTGGCTCTGCCAAACAAATTCCTTTCACTTCGAGTTATTGGGAGTTTGCTCGAAGTACGTCTGGGTGCCTTTATTCTACTTTGGCATATATATATATATATATATATATATATATATATAT